GGACATTTCCTGATGAAGCAGATGTATCCCACATGAAGCAGAAGCCAACGAGACAGAGACCAGTACGGAAGAAGATACGTCCCGTAAAATTAAGAGACTCTGTTGAATTGTAATTTTGTGTTTGTAATTCTGTACAGTTAATTAAGTTATTGTTAATTGTTATTGGTTTATTATATGTGGTTATTGTTTGGGACGAACAATATTAAGGAGGGGGCAGTGTTGCGTAAGCAAGTCACATGACTAGTGTGACGCCACGTTTCTAGAACTATCCCGTACATTGGCGAATGCTCTAGTATTTACTAGATATAGGGTAGTCTGGTATATAAAAGAGGATGACAACGTGACGCGGGAAGGTAATGTAATGTGTGTGTGAAGATAGTGAGTAATTGAACTGCAGTCAGAAGTATTATTGAGCACGTACGTTGTGATAGCGTTTGTTTAGCGCGATTGTTGAAGTTGAGTGTATCGGTAAAGTTGTATTCGGAAAGAATAAACCAGTTTTATTAAGTAAGGACTTGTGTCGTTAAAGTTTCGTCGGAACGAAGTTACGGAAAAATCAATTAACAAACGGAGACGTAACAGTATGAATAGTATGACTAGGGGACACAAATATAAATTTCGGCAGGGTAAGAGTCATCTTCAGCTAAGAAAGCTTTATGTTTCTAACAGTGTAGTTGACCTTTAGAATCGGTTACTTTCAGATGTAGTGGATGCAGTTAACTTAGGGAGTTACAGGGAAGGCTTTATAAATATTTGAATGATAAGGGCGGGCTTTGGGTGTTTTATTTTCGTTTTAAAGTTCAGTTTAGTGGTTGGAACTTAACTTGTATTAATGGACTTTAGTGTTTTACACAGCTTTGTTCAATGTATAGTAAATATTTAATATATATATAAAACCTATCAACTAGGGCCAGATATTTGGGAGACATGATTTAAATCCAGAAACCATCATAATCTTTTATGCATGTATGCAAAATATTTTGCCCGTATATTACGTGGTTTGCTCTACAGAATGCTCCCAATACTCATATTGACTTTACAATTACCCTGTACTTTAAGGAGTAAATTGGTAAATTATGTTTTTGAAAACAAAATATTGTTAAATACTTATAAATATATTAAGAGTACATAGACACTTTTACTTTAAATGGATGTCACTCGTAACAGTCTTTGTAATTTCACCTCAAGCAATATTAGAATGTGGTATGCAGGCACAGCATGTGTTTGTACCTTCCTATTTTAATGTAGAATTCTTCAAAATCTTTACGTTTTTTAAGTATATGAAATTTCACATAAGACTTAGTACAGAAAGTCTTTAAGTTGACTTTGTTCTAGCTGCATTCGTTCCTGGTTGGTATTGTTGTAACACTGTATATTTAGAACAATTTAGATGGCAGCATTGTCCTTTACTGGTAGGTCAAGTGATGTCTCGAGGTTACAGCTTTCCCTCTAGTAAATGACAATGACCAGTCATGTATTTAGCAATAGTCACAATGGGTAAAATTGAAGTTTCCCATAAAGCCAGAAAAATTATATTTAAACAATCTGCATGGCATCTTGAGAGAATAATATTTTTTAACTAATTCACGAGTTCAGTAAAAGATCATCATCTGGTGTCCAATGCAAGTACGCAATTGTTTTGTGTCTTTTAATTAATATTGTTCTCAATTTGTGTTACACGTTGTGTCCAGTCTCTACTTCTTAGCTTAAAACTCAGTCAGTTTAGAAATTCATTACCACTCTAACTTATCCTGCCGATCCTCCCATTGTAAAGTGGACCCACCTGAAAATACCATAAGAGTCCATGATACAGGAATAATGAAATTATACAGTTTTATTACATCAGCAGTTTGTATTTCTGTTAAGAACTAAGCAGTGATTATGCGCCTTATAGAAGCACAACTTAATTTATCACTAACACAAAACTTTACACAAAGAAGAACTTTAAATGTCATTGAACAACAATGTGTGTATAATACTGGCTGGCTGCTCTATTACGGCCCGTTGCACACACACACGTTTGTGAATAGTTATCAACAATGACAACCGAAAGAGGGTATGCATGCAATTACGAAAGCTGTGGTTACTATCTGCTAGTGACGAAAAAAAAAACGATTAGACAGACTTGAAAAATGCAACAAACACTTATCTTTGATGATTTCTTCAACAATGTTAGTATTTCACTATGTTCAACCATACCATGCAAAGAAAACTACAATAATTTTCATGGGCCATTTGAAAATTAGTTCAAAAGCTACTTTTATGTAAAGAGGAAAACTGTTTCATTGGTACTTGGAGCTCAAACTGTGGACGATGAATTGGAAGCATGCGATGGTCTGATTAATCACTTCACCCTTTTAATTTACTGTAGTAGAGTAAAAAAAATATTTGAGGTATTTGGCCTTGTTTATACTCTTCACACAATGCAGGCTGCTGAAAGTGGTGCAATAATAGTGTCAAAAACGTTTTTGTGGCAGAAATTGGGTCTTTTTATACCTTTAGAAAGGTGGAAAGCTTATAAAGTATCTGGATTTTTCAATCGTTTTATTGCCATCCGACAATTCTGCTTTTCCACCATGATAAACAAGGGATTTTCTATTATAATAGTGCAAAAAAGATAATATCTTTTAGAACTGGTTCGAAGGATATAGCAATCTTTTCAGCCATCCTCTTGGTTAACATAACCAACGGATCTCAGTCTAATTATACATCTTTGGAATGAGTTTGAACATTGTATTCTTAACAATAATCCCCATTTGACACCTGAGAACTATTTATTGATGAATGGATTGCAACCAAAGAGTGTACAACTTTCCCTTTTATAGAGTTTATAACACACATAGCAATGTCCAAGTTATTATTGTGGTTGAGCACGTGGGGATTCCAATAAAGAGGGTTTGTTGATATAAATTAGTCATACACTTACTTGACATGTTTGCAAGTCCACTGGAAAATCATAAAGTTCGATGGGCCTTTCTCTTCGGGACACTTCAGTTTGCCCCTGAAGAAGAAAGGTCCACCTTTCGAAAGCATTCGGGTTGTAGGATGTCATATCTTTGTGTTAAATTGATTTCTTGAACCTACGTGTTTTCCTAACATCATGTTTATAAAGTTTAGCTTATTCTGAGGTAAGATATGCCATCACTGCCAGACTATGCTTTATTAAGAATATAATAAGTATTTTGTCTTTAACATATTATAAAGTTATATGAATCTTAAACACAAAAACAATTAAAACTAATAAAACCATAGAGAACAAAAAATATTAATTTAAAAAAATATATCTTGACTCAACAAAGCTCTTAAAAGAATAAAACGATGAAGATGTCAACCTAAAGGAACCAATTAAATTTACAGACAATGTAAGTATTACACACCTGCTTCTAATACAGATATAGGTGTAGGTGGCCACAAGGATGCCCTTAAGGTAGCCATCCATGTTTGACTTTCGCTTTCACTACTTCCGGCTAAGTGAAGTAGAGGTTTATGATGTTTGGACACAGTAAAAGCATACTTATGGGTTCGAGAGTAACATCTGAACACTATAGTATCCTCTGCTATTAGTTGAAAGTGCAAGTCAGACTTGTCTGATGTGCCATGAATCCGTGGGCTCGCCGCCACTAACACCTGAATATAAACTTTTAGAAGTCCTTCATCTTCAGGTCGTTGACTGGAACTAAGACGCACCAAACGATGTCGCCAAGGCTATAATTATAATTTATAATCATGTAATGAAACAAGAAGAAATTTATAGAATCTTCAATTAATATAATTAAATCAAGCAACAATGATTCAAATCTCAACTATTAGGACAAGTGAATCTAAATGCTTCGCCAGAATCTATATTTTCCCGCCATAATAGCATTGTTACTACTACACTATTAGTAGAAAAATTAATAGTGTACGTTAATGTGTCCATATACACAAGTGGTAGTATGTGAAAAATGTTGGACTCTACCATTGCAGTAATCTTCGTTGGTAAAATAAGAGAAATTGATGAATTTTATCTGTTTTGTTTGAAATATAATAATTATTTCAGAATCCATTTCTGATGGCTGAAGAAGCCTCAGAGCTAGAGTAAGTATTCAATGACACACACACACACACACACATATATATATATATACATACAACTCGTCTAAGTCCGTGGTTGCCGACATTTTCATGCCGCATTCCTCCAGTCAGATCTTTGATTCAGCAGCGTACCCCTGAGGTGTATAATTTGTTAACAAATCTTAAGTGTAGTTTATATGTCAAACAAAAAGGTAAATCAAAAGAAATAATTCAAGAGTGAGTGAACAATATGTGAACGTTGAATGTTGGTTAGTGAAATACGTTAGTAAAGTTAACAATATTTATTGTATAAATTATGCTTTCAAAATTATTTCTGTAAACAGAGAAAATTTATATTAAAAGTATTGTCTCTAAAAATCTCATTGCATAATCGAGATTTTGATCAAGTATGTAAGATGGTTTAGGGAATTAACAGACCTTTTATTACATCTTTTTTTTTAAAGTTGTTTGTCATCGTTGCCTCTTATTTGTATTCAGTTGTCTATGTAAACAAGCAGTGCTACACAAGACATTCAACATTTTTTTCAGCATGATTGATGTTAAATATTAAAGAATTAAGGTAAATGGCTCTTTTCAACAGAGACCACATATAAAATTTAGGTTACTCAACAAATTAAAAACAATTAGCACCATGTTTAAAACTCAGATGTACAAAGTGTCTCAAAAGTCCACACTTATGGCCATTTTAATATTTATAATTGATATTTGTATATTTAGTTTTCAGAAAAATTAAAGTATTTATTTTTGGATGACTACAGATCACGAGAAAGTGTGTACGATATGTGTATGCAAGTAGATGGCATGTAATTTGAACAATTGTTAAAATATAGGTTACGGTGAATTCTGCCTGTGAGTACGGAACTTTGAGACATTCTGTATTTGTCTCAAGCCACGCAAGGTAGTTTGTTTTAGCTTGAGGAATTAAATTTCGGATTTTATCGTCGTAAATACATAAACTTACCGCTGATCTTAAGATAGTGAAGAGTGATACTAGTTGTTTATCAATTATTTTTCAAAATATCTCACAGTTATGTTTTGTGAATTGTTGAACATTAAGAACTATCGTCATTTAATCATTTAATCGTCATCTGACATAAGCCTAAGACAGAAACCATGCTTATGTAGATTTGTTTGTTTTCAGGGCAATATAATTTTTACTTTACGTAATCATTTCAGAGGGTCACAACATTGAAAATATTTGCTAGAGCTGTGTTCATATTCTAACTAGTAGTGAAACTGGATGAAAGTGAAATTCACTATTACGTCGAATTAAGATATTTGTGCAAGTTAATATTTAAAATGATGTTACTTCTTCCAAAGCATCTATTAAATACTGTACTTTTGAAGAAGTCTTTCAGTATTATATCAATCCATAGAAGTGGCTCAGCGGTAAGTCTAAAGACTTATAACGCTAAAAATCGGGTTTCGATACCCGTAGTAGGCAAAGCACAGCTAGCCCGTTATGTAGATTTTTGATTAACAACAAACAAATAAAACAATCCATATAAAACTTTGTAAAATTTTTTAGATCATTATATACTTGAATTTCACCATTTAAACATGTAATGGAACAGTAGTAAGACATAAGATTGGTTTACATCAAGGTAAAACTGTTTTGGTAGCAATAATGCAAAAAAAAAGAGATTTTAATATTAATACTTCACATGTATATTCAGATTTATTTAAACCATAAACGATTAAACACTTTCAAGCTCTCTTCATCAGGGCAAAGTTAAGGGTAAGTGTGTGGTCCATCTGATCTACACCTATTACCACTGCTGTTCACCTACTACTTTAGGACCTACCTGGATTACTTCATCTTCTTCTCCAGTATATTGCCTGTATGCAGGCATTGACAATTATGGATATTCATTTCGCACAGTTCCAGGTGTTCTTCAACAATTCTGTGTTGTTGTTATTCACGTTTCCTAATCATTTTGTGAATCTATCGAACATATTTATGCTTTCTCTTCCTTTGCTTATCTTTCTTTCTATCTTGTCGGTTGTTACTATGTGCTCTGTCTTTTCTTTCTTCATCGCATGGCCTATGAACTCAACTTGTTTCTTGCTTATTGTTTTGATGATGTTGTTGTATTGGCTTGTACCAGTTCTTGTTCAATAATTTTCTTCCTACTCGCAGCATTCTTTTTCAGAACCATGTTTCGGGTGCCTCAAGTTTTTTCTCGACCTTCATACTGTTGCGTCAGCGAAGTCACGTGACTAGTATCACGCCAACCGTTTTCTAGAATTATCCTGTTCCTTCGGGAGTGCTCTAGCATTTGCTAGATTGGGGGTGGTCTGGTATATATATAAGATGGTCACGGCGTGACGTAACAATGTGTGTAGGTAATGAGTAATTGAACTGCAGTCAGAGAGCATTGTTGAAGTTAACGTTCCTTGTTTTAGCGTTTGTTATAGAGCGACTGTTGAAGATAAGTGTATCGGTAAAGTTATATTCAGAAAAAATAAACCAGTTTTATTAAGAAAGGACTTGTGTCGCTAAAGTTTCGTGGGAACGAAGTTACGGAAAAATTAATTAACAAACGGAGACGTAACAAATTGGTCTCAGAGAGTGGGACAGAAAAAAAAATGGAAACGAGAAGCGGCAAATCAAACTACAGCATAGCAGACTTAATGGCAGCAATACAAGAACAGCAAAAGCAACAAGAAGAACGAGAAGAGAAATTACAACAGTTGTTTGAGGAAAAAGAAAAGAAACAAGAAGAGAGACAACAGCAGTTGCAAGAAAACATGCAACAATGGCAGCTCGAACAACAAAATAAACAAGAAGAGAAATTGCTTCAGTAGTTGGAGGAAAAAGAAAAGAAACAAGAAGAGAGAGACAACAGCAGTTGCAAGAAAATCTGCAACAGTGGCAGCTTGAACAACAAAATAAACAAGAAGAGCAATTACAGCAGTTGTTGGAGGAAAAAGAAAAGAAACAAGAAGAGAGACAACAGCAGCTGCAAGAAAATCTGCAACAGTGGCAGCTCGAACAGCAAAATAAACAAGAAGAAAGATTACAGCAGTTATTGGAGGAAAAAGAAAAGAAATAAGAAGAGAGATTACAGCAGTTATTGGAGGAAAAAGAAAAGAAACAAGAAGAGAGATTACAGCAGTAGCAACTGGAACAAGAAAGGAGAGAGGAAGAAAGTCAGCAGCAACTACAGGAAAGTCAACAACAGTGG